AATTTTTTTTAACTTTATATTTAATTCTACTTTTATATATCATAATTATTTATAAATTAAATTTTAATATTATTAAATAAATTATAAAAAAAATAAATTTTATTTTATAATATAAAATATTTATCATACATCTTAAATATAATTTATATATTTAAAATATACGTTATTCACATTTTAAATATAACTAGATATTAGCCTGTGAAAAGGACGGATTGATAAATCAATAGATACAATATATTGAAAATTTTGATATTTTATTTTAATTTGTTGTATTTTTTTTATGAAAAAAGGGAAGTAGATTGAGTTTATAATTGTCGAATACATTGTAATATATATGTAAAATTTTATATAATAATTAATTTAATATGATAAGATAACAAAGATTTAAATATGTATTGAATTGGCAGTTATATTATGTTACTTTTAAAATATAATGACAACTTTAATTAACGTTTAAAATTTAAAAGAAAAAATTAAATGACACTAAATTTGCAAAATACTTATTTTGTATTATAAAATTATTTGACATATCAATAGGATAAACATATATAAGATGAATTTTACATTTATTGAAAATGATATTACAATGCATGATAAAAAAATCTAGTAATAATGTACTATAAAAATAAATATATTTCTAATGTTTCAAATGATAAAATTTCATAGTATTAAATTACATGATTTTGAAGAATTATTTAAATTGAAGTTTATTTATAGATTGTGTATTTCTTTTTATTAGATATAGATTATATATTAATATTTAGGTTAAATATGTTTTTAGTCCTTCAAAAATTGATTCTATTTGATTTTAGTCCTTCAAAAACAATTTCTTGACTTTAGTACTATTATGGAATTTTCTCAATTAAAAATATTAATTATTTTATGATTAAATTAAGATTTAGGACAAAAATTAATTTTATACTTAAAACTTTTTACTATTTATTCTCATACCAGATATAGAGGTTTCAGTAATTTTTTTTTTCTTTTACTTGAACAAAGAGGTGTTTCACCAAATTGTAATAAAATCTTCTCTCAATTCAAAGTAAAGTTTTTTTTTCTCTCCACCGCCATCACCATGTCCATAAATGTTCTGTTCATACCTTTATTGACAACCCTCAAAACTCCAAATTTTCAATTTTTGGAGACATCATTTCTCCATAGACCTCAATACACTAAATAATGCTCATTCTTCAACCTCAATTTTTTGAGTTTAGAGGGTTGTCAATGAAGGTGTCAAATAGAACATTTATGGACATGGTGATAAAAGGGAAAAAAAAACTTTGCTTTGAATTGAGAGAAGATTTTATTGCAGTTTGGTGGGAGACCTCTTAACTCAAGTAAAAAAAGAAAGAATTATTGAAATCTTCATATCTATATTTGAGAGTGAATAGTAAAAAGTTTTAAATGTAAAATTAATTTTTATCCTAAAACTTAACTTAATCCTAAAATAATTAATATTTTAAACTAAAAAATTTCATGTCAATAAAACTTATGATGATTTGAACGTTGAAGTAACCTATTTTAACAACAAAAGTTAACCGTGTTTAAAAAAGATTAAAAATAGATATTATATGAATTTGGAGGACCAAAATGAAAATATTTCTTTTGAGAGACTAAAACCAAATAGAGTTAATTTTTTAACAACCAAAAACATATTTAACCCTTAATCCTTTAACTTTATGTATATTGTAAAATTCTAAATTTAAAATATAAACGTATCTCATTTTAAATTACATGTTTTCATTTCTCAACGCATCTCATTTCAAGTACAAACAATTTGCTTTATTTTTTATCCAAACACATGAATTGTATTAAATCAATAAAACATATACTAAATATTTATTTCTTTAGACAATTGCCATAATAAAATTTTAAAATCTATAGATAATTAGTAACTGATAGTTATAAAATACATTTAATTGTTATACTTGATATGGTTATAAATTATATTTAATTTATAATTAAATATTAATCATTGATTTTGTAATTAAAATTTTATTTTAATTGGTATTAAAAAATACGATAATATTCTTTCAACAATGATTTTTATTTATATGTTTTGACTATTCATCCCCGCTCCATTACTTCATTGTTGTATATCCATTAGTGATAAAATTCTTTTTATATAATAATTCCTGGAACACGAACAATCCTAAATAAAACAGAATTGATAGTTTAAAGTAGGACAAAAAATTCTCAATACAAATAAGAAAGAAATCTCGTAATGAATATAGTTAAAGAATTTATCTAATTTAAAAATCTTAAGCAACATATAACGTCAATGCTAGATAATGATATCAAAAGAATTGATTAAACAATCTATATAAAAATATCATTATCGTATTAAGAATTAAGAATTAATACACATAACTTAATTTGGAAAAAATATCTATTTTATTCATTCTAGTTAGGTAAGTATCTTATTTTACATTTAAGTATACTTGATTTTGGAAAGAAATGGAGATTACCAATCTAACTTATTTGATGCTTGTTGCATGAAAACTAAATAAAATTTTCTTGTCCTTTTAACATATGCTTCTTCATGTGTCTCAAAATTGGATGGCCTCAATAGTTTTCATTTGATTCTCATTCTTTTACAAAATGACTTATCAAATCTCAAATCATGTATAAAGAAAAAAATTAAGAGCAAGAAAAAAAGATAAGAATACCACTTTAGATTCCCTATATGTCCCAAAATTTGATGGCTTCAATAGTTTTCATACGATTATTCTTCTTTTACAAAATGAATTATCATATATATGAGGAAAAAATTAAGAGTAAAAAAAAAAGAAGATAAGAATGAGTAACGCTTAAAATTTTTTATATGTCCCAAAATTTGGCCTAAGACAACTCTCATGATTCCCCTTCTCTTGCAAAGTGAAATATAAAATCTCAAATCATGTTTGAGAAATAAATTAAGAGTGAAAAAAGACATGATTATCCTTCTCTTGCAAAATGGATTATCAAATTTCAAATCATGTATGAGAAAAAAAATTAAGAGTGAAAAAAAAAGAAGATAAGAAAGAATATCACTTTAGATTTTCAACATGATCCAAAATTTGATGGTACCTCATGATTCTTCTTTTCTTGCAAAATGAAATATCAAATCTCAAATCATGCTTAAGAAATAAATTAAGAGTGAAAAAATAGAAAGAAAAAATATCATTTTAGATTTTTTACAAGGATTGAAGGATTGAATAGGTTAGTTTAGATTAAAATTGATAATAAAAGGTGGATTGAATAAAACAATTTATGAAGGAGAGATACAATAGAAAATTGCTTAAAAATTGACACATAAACAAATTTACTAAAGTGGGATAAGATAATACAACGATGTGACAGCATAACATTAAGTAACTCAACTTTTATATTATAAATAGATAGATTTACATATTCAAACATCACATTTATTTATATTCATAATGTATTTTAAATTTTAATTATATATAATAAACATTTAATCGTTCATTATAAAAAAAATACTAATATATTGTGTAAAGTAGAACATGTGATTTACGATCACCTCTTAATTCATCTTCAAACATTTTCCCCCGAATATTTTAATGTTAAACTCCGTGGTGTCTATTGATCATTATATGGTGTCTATTCAATCAAATGACTTGATATTGTTAGACATTATCAAAGTCCAACAGGATCGAGCAAATGCCATAGGAGTAATGTGGAAAGTAGAACAGAGGAGCACAAAACACAAGAGGAACCAATAAACAATGCGAGAATAAAAATTGAACATCGTATCCAAAAATATAAAAGATCATCATCATTCCTTTAACAGCAGAAAGAAATAATTAACAAAGTGAAAATATGTATATGCTCACACACATAGATGCTGATGAAGCATGGTCTTTCTTCCCATGATCTTATATTTCCCTTTGGAAACACATGGATCTTATTCCTAACAACTATAATGATAAATATGATCACATCCCACAAATATGTACCCAATGGCACGTGCACGAGTAGCCATCACCTTGGAAGCATCTCTGTCACAATATCTGTGCCACTAAAGAGAGTTGAAGTTGCTGCTTCATGTGGATTTTCAGTTTTTTTGTGCTTGACTGCTTGAGAAGATGATGTCTCATTCAAAGAACCACCTTTCTTTCCTGTGCTGTGCCATCTATATATTCCGGGCTCAGTCAATGCCTTCTCATTAAGATGAACTTCCTTGGAAAGCATTTCCAGTACTTGCTTCATGCTTGGTCTGTGCTGAGCAGCTGATTGGGTGCAAAATAGAGCCACTATAAGGAACCGATACACCTCGCTCTCATCATATTCACTTAGTTCTGAATCAACAAGGTCTAGAAGCCTGTTTTCTTCTTTCAGCTTCCAAGCCTGCATGCATGAATGATGAGTCAGGAGAAACAAACATATTGCTGTTATTTTTACTGTCAACAACAACAACAAAGAAAAGGATGCATCAAGTTTGGTTGTTTTTTTGGCTACACCGTGTTAGAAATCTTACATCAATTAGTAATAAACCAAAATACAATATATAAGTAAGAAACAATGATCGTTTTACAAGTTGATTTTGTAGAGTAAAGTTAGGTTTAAATTCACTTTCTTAAAATAATATTAAAGTCTATCCTAACAATTATTGTTGGACCTATTATGTCATCCGCTATTGGATTGCACAAACTTCATACTCAAGATATCCAATCCTTAGCATAGAGGGAAAGTGTTAAAAATCCCACATTGACTAGTGATATAGCCAAAATAGTGTAGATCAATCTTCAACTTACAAACCAGTTTTATAAGATTGAGTTAAATTGAAATCTAGTTTCTTTGTACACACAACAATGTTTAATAACACTATGTAGTATTTTCTTATCTTTTATTAATTTGACTGTCACCTACCTGCAAAACCATTTAATGAACTCCGTGCGATTTCAATTAATTATAGGGAGCATTGATCACCTGTAGATGCATTAAATCACATTTTAAAAGAGGTTATGTGATGCATGAGAAGCCCCAAATTTCAACTTCACAATGAGTATTCTATTGGGCTGGGAATTGGGAAAACAAAATGTCATAGTAAAGCTTCACCCAACTTCTGATAATTTATTGTTAGTTCAAGAATCCCTACTTGATCTATGCTTTGCAATGATTAAAGACATTTTGTCCTTAATGACTGTGATACCTATGATTATAGGGAGCATTGATCACCTGTAGATGCATTAAATCACATTTTAAAAGAGGTTATGTGATGCATGAGAAGCCTCAAATTTCAACTTCACAATGAGTATTCTATTGGGCTGGGAATTGGGAAAACAAAATGTCATAGTAAAGCTTCTTCAACTGTGATACCTATGCTTGATCTGTGAAAAAATTTCTTTATGAAGGATTATTGATACAAGAATACTGTTGGAAGAATTAATATGAAATTTAACAAGATGATCTACAATGCATTAATATCAACTTATGAAAGTGATTCGAAGGTTCCTAAAAAGGTTCGATTTATAAGTATTGGAAGGCGACATGTATAAATAAATTAGAGTTAATCACCTATACACTGTCAGTGTAAAGTTTTTTTATATTAGTAATCAATTATATCTTTTAATTGTGCCATGTTACTATTAAAAGTAAATGTGTTTATAGTGACATGACAATTAAAAAATATAATTGGTTGCCAGTGTAAAAAAACTTTACACTAGCAGTGTATAGGTGATTAACTCAATAAATTAATGATTTTGGAAAGCAATTCATAAATGAGCTGCTGAGGAAGCCTAAAATTAACAAATTCAGAATTACTCAACGAGTTGATGCTTGAAATAAATCTGAAGATCAGACAGCTAACAACAATGATAGTCATAAGAGGTCTGTTAGAAGAATTTCCTGATGCAAAATATCTCTATATAATGGTTCCAGATTCTTCTATAAATTTTTTATCCCAAAATTTGTGTTTCATAACAAGCCAAAGGATAAGGATTTGATTTCTGGACCAGCCTAAAAGCTACCGATCCTCAAATATCTTTAAATATGCAGTATTTTTTAGAAAAATAAATACAGAATAAAGAACACCCACAAGTGTGTGCTGCTCTGCCAATTCAAATTTGACTTGTGTTGTAAAGCCCTGTGACCGAGTCATAGTTATCAATCTCAGATGACAGAGCATAATGATCAACTCCAAAAATGCTACAATGGTCACTATTCTGAGTTGAAATATGGTTAAAATAATTTATACTATATACATATAAATTTTCAAAAAAAAAACCTCAAATTCATGACTTAATCATGATTAACAACAACAGGTCATAGGTTTTAAGCAAAACATACAAGTAAATAACAACAACAACAACAAAAAAGTCAAGGAAATAAACAAAAATCAAGAGGCATGTTCATATTTCAAATACATAAGATTCAATAAAAAGTGAAGGTGGGAGTTGCGTTGAGAAAAGAACCAAGGAGGTTGAGAGTTTAGAGTTCAGAGTAGGGAGAAGAATAGAAAGTAGGTGTTGCCGGAAATGCTGCTGGAGATGGTAGGTGTTAGTCAAACAGTATGCTGTATGGGTGTCACTATGCGACGGAAATTACAATTAAGAATTTTTTAAATTTTTGAAAGGGGGAGGGAAATCTCTACCTTGCCCCTACAAAGACACCTAAAAGACTAAAACAATGAGTAAATAGTCATTTTGATCCTAGAAAGTGATAAGCAAAGTTACATTAGTCTCATAAACAAAGAAAAGCTGAAAATGTCAAATAAGTTCCTAAGATGTCAAATAAATCCCTAAACTTAATTACTTATTGTCATTTTGATTCATGAATATATATATATATATA